CCATCTCAAAGCATGCTGGCTGGGGAATTCTGGGAGTTGAAGTCCACCAATCTCAAAGCATGCTGGCTGGGGAATTCTGGGAGTAGAAGTTCATACTTCTTAAAACATGAAGGCTGGGGAATTCTGGACGTTGAAATCCACCCATCTTCAAGTTACCAAGGTTGAGAAGCCCTCTCCTAGATTCTTGGGACTTTACAAATACAATGTAAATAATAGAAGCCGAGATACAAACGCAGGACAATTTCCCTGCACAGGTGGAAGGAATACCTGCCAGAGGTACCCTGGTGTGCCAACATCGACACCACGAACACGATTGAGTACAACATTAAATACTCCTTCCCCAAGTCAACAGCCTTTTTTGGACGGGGGTCGACTGCGTAAGTATTGGGAACCAGGTTTTCACTAGCCAGGGTCCTCTGGGCTGGGTAGCCAAGCAGGGTTAGGCCTGCTGGAGAGCAGGAGGGGAGACCACTAGGAGAAGCCAGGGCTGGTTAGAGAGGGGAGGGAGCCTTCTGGAGAAGGCAAAATACAGCACATCAGTGTTTCCTCTCCGTGCAGTCTCTAAAAATTGAACCCAACTTGGGGACTATGAGACAGAGAGAGATTATCGATGTATAAATAGGATAGACAGATAGATGACAGATAGATAGATAGATAGATAGATAGATAGATAGATAGATAGAGAGAGAGAGAGACAGACAGATGATAGATGACAGAGATAGATAGATGATAGATAGTCAGATAATAGATGATAGACGGATAGATAGATGATAGATAGATAGATAGATAGATAGATAGATAGATAGATAGATAGATAGATGATGGAGGGAGGGAGGGATAGACAGATAGAGAGACAGATAGATGACAGATAGATAGATAGACAGATAGATGACAGATAGATAGATAGATAGATAGATAGATAGATAGATAGATAGATAGATAGATGATGGAGGGAGGGAGGGATAGACAGATAGAGAGACAGATAGATGATAGATGACAGATAGAGATAGATGATAGATAGTCAGATAATAGATGATAGACGGATAGATAGATAGATAGATAGATAGATAGATAGATAGATAGATAGATAGACAGATAGATGAAACATAGATAGATGATACACAGAGAGATGATAAGTAACAGAGAGATAGATGATAGATAGATAGATAGATAGATAGATAGATAGATAGATAGATAGATAGATAGACAGATAGATGAAACATAGATAGATGATACACAGACAGATGATAAGTAACAGAGAGATAGATGATAGATAGACAGATAGGATAGATAGATAGATAGATAGATAGATAGACAGACAGATAGATGAAACATAGATAGATGATACACAGACAGATGATAAGTAACAGAGAGATAGATGATAGATAGACAGATAGTATAGATAGATAGATAGATAGATAGATAGATAGATAGATAGATAGATAGATAGATAGATAGATAGTCACTCTGTTTATTATATACACTGCTCAAAAAAAATAAAGGGAACACAAAATAAAACATCCTAGATCTGAATGAATGAAATATTCTTATTAAATACTTTGTTCATTACATAGCTGAATGTGCTGACAACAAAATCACACAAAAATTATCAATGGAAATCAAATGTAGCAACCCATGGAGGTCTGGATTTGGAGTTACACTCAAAATTAAAGTGGAAAAAACCACTACAGGCTGATCCAACTTTGATGTAATGTCCTTCAAACAAGTCAAAATGAGGCTCAGTAGTTTGCGTGGCCTCCATGTGCCTGTATGACCTCCCTACAACTCCTGGGCATGCTTCTGATGAGGTGGCGGATGGTCTCCTGAGGGATCTCCTCCCACACCTGGACTAAAGCATCCCCCAATTCCTGGACAGTCTGTGGTGCAACGTGGCGTTGGTGGATGGAGCGAGACATGATGTCCTAGATGTGCTCAATTGGATTCAGGTCTGGGGAACAGGCGAGCCAGTCCATAGCATCAATGCCTTCGTCTTGCAGGAACTGCTGACACACTCCAGCCACATCAGGTCTAGCATTGTCGTGCATTAGGAGGAACCCAGGGCCAACCGCACCAGCATATGGTCTCACGAGGGGTCTGAGGATCTCATCTCGGTACCTAATGGCAGTCAGGCTACCTTTGGCGAGCACATGGAGGGCTGTACGCCCCCCTAAAGAAATGCCACCCCATACCATTACTGACCCACTGCCAAAATGGTCATGCTGGAGGATGTTGCAGGCAGCAGAACGTTCTCCACGGCATCTCCAGACCCTGTCACGTCTGTCCCATGTGCTCAGTGTGAACCTGCTTTCATCTGTGAAGAGCACAGGGCACCAGTGGCGAATTTGCCAATCTTGATGTTCTCTGGCAAATGCCAAACATCCTGCACGGTGTTGGGCTGTAAGCACAACCCTCACCTGTGGACGTCGGGCCCTCATACCACCCTCATGGAGTCTGTTTCTGACCCTTTGAGCAGCCACATGCACATTTGTGGCCCTCTGGAGGTCATTTTGCAGGGCTCTGGCAGTGCTCCTCCTGTCCCTCCTTGCACAAAGGCGGAGGTAGCGGTCCTGATGCTGGGTTGTTGCCCTCCTACGGCCTCCTCCACGTCTCCTGATGTACTGGCCTGTCTCCTGGTAGCGCCTCCATGCTCTGGACACTACACTGACAAACACAGCAAACCTTCTTGCCACAGCTCGCATTGATGTGCCATCCTGGATGAGCTGCACTACCTGAGCCACTTGCGTGGGTTGTAGACTCCATCTCATGCTACCACTAGAGTGAAAGCACCACCAGCATTCAAAAGTGACCAAACCATCAGCCAGAAAGCATAGGAACTGAGAAGTGGCCTGTGGTCACCACCTGCAGAACTGCTCCTTTATTGGGGGATGTCTTGCTACCTGCCTATGCTTTCCACCTGTCGTCTATTCCATTTGCACAACAGCAGGTGAAATTGATCGTCAATCAGTGTTGCTACCTAAGTGGGCAGTTTGATTTCACAGAAGTGTGATTGACTCGGAGTTACATTGTGTTGTTTAAGTGTTCCCTTTATTTTTTTGAGCAGTGTAAATTCAGCCATCCATCAGACCAACCCATACACCCATCCTTCATTCCCATGCAACACCGAATGTCTCCCAAATCACCCCTCCCTCCCTCTCTCCCTTCCTTTGGGGTCCTCCTTCCAACCCAAATGCTCCACGTCACCTTTCTCATTCTCCCCATCAGCTTATTTGAGGCCAAAATGAAAGGCTTCTTCTACAAACCTTACTCCTGGGAGAAGCTGGAAGACATTCGCAAGATCTTCTGGTTCTACCACACTCCTGTCTCAGGTCAGTGATGGACATAAGCTCTAATTTTATTTCCTAGCAACACATTCACCCCTTCCACAACTGGATTCACCCAAAACAGGTAACACAACCTTGCTCAAACTGTGTATAGATTGTCTCTGGCAGAAGGTATGAAATCTGCCCATCTTAAAGTACACTGGATGGGGAATTCTGGGAGGTGAAGTCCACACATCTTAAAGCAGGCTGGATGGGGAATTCTGGGAGTTGAAGTCCCTCCATTTTAAAGCTGGCTGGGAATTCTGATTAGTAAAATCAGTGATTTATTGAATTTAATTGACCACTGTATTTAGTAATTACTGTAATAAATTAGGCTGTTTGTTGCTTAGCAAAATTATTTGATTAGAGTGATTTGAATAACCAATTGATTGATTGATTTTTAGTAATAAACAACCTTACTTTTGATTTGTTCTGTAACATATTAATTAACATTTATTAATTACAAACATTCATTAACTGTCTACCTATCACATTAACTAGCTATTGTAATTGTTTACTATTGCCGTTGACCATGCCAGCCAAAAACTCCAAACCAAATGAAAAATATCACTACCAATGACCGCCCAGACTCCTGCACATGTTTCAGATGTCTTGAAACCATTAATGAAAGAGAAATTTACATCAAATGCCACCAATGCAACAATCTAGCCCACCCTGTCTGCTTAAACGCAAACAAAAGCCTAGCTGATATGGTTAAAAATTCAGATACATCCTTTTATCTATGTCCATCATGTTCTCCTAAGCTAAACAAACAGAGTACCCTACTTGACAGAGTTGAAAGCATAGAATCACTCATTCACTCAATTATTAACCAATCCATCATCCTCCACTTAGAAACAAACAACCTACTTTCTAATAAACAATTTGGTTTCAGGAAAAAACTATCATGTAATCTGCAACTCTTACACTGTAAAAACTACACAACTCAATCAGGGCAAAGCAATAGACGCAATCTACATAGACTTCTGTAAAGCCTTTGATTCAATGGTACACAACAAACTACTCCTAAAACTAAAATCTTACAGTAAAATACAAGCTGAATATTCAAGACCTTGTTGATGATCCAAACTCTGTCAAGGACCTTGGAATACTCATCTCTAATGATCTAAGTGCTAGAGCCCACTGTAACTGCATAGCCAAAAAGACGTTAAGAGTTGCCAGACCAATACTCGAATACAGCTCATCAGTCTGGAACCCACATTTACGTATCTGATATTAACACAGTTGAGAAAGTCCAGAAATATTTCACAAGAAGAGTTCTCCACTCCTCTACTTGTTGCAGAATACCTTATGTCACTAGACTCGAAATTCTAGACCTAGAAAACTAGAACTATGCCCCCTTCGGTCCGATCTAAGTATAGTATATAAAATCATACACTGCAATGTCCTACCTGTCAATGAATACTTCAGCTTCAACCATAACAACAACAAGAGCACACAATAGATAGAAACTCAAGGTTAATCTTACCAAACTTGATTGAAGGAAATACGACTTCAGCAACAGAGTGGTCAATGTCTGGAATACTCTACCTGACTCTGTGGTTTCTTCCCCAAACCTCAAAAACTTTAACCTTAGACTGTCTACTATTGACCTCACCCCTTTCCAAAGAGGTCTATAGGGGGCGTGCATAAGCGCACCAATGTGCCCACCGTCCCTGTCCTATTGTTTCTTTTATTTTTCTTACATGTATCCGTGTATTCATAACTATATTTTTACTTATTCCTATTATCTTGTGAGCAATTGACAAAAATGAATAAATAAAAAATTCTGGGAGTTGAAGTCCACCCATCAATTGCCAAGTTTCATAAACACTCTTAATTAATTCAATGGCAAGAGCTCCATTGAAAGAGAACACACATATTTTATTTTTATTTTTTCTTACACCTATCCATGTGTTCATCACTATGTTTTTACTTATACCTATTATCTTGTAAGCAATTGACAAAAATGAATAAATAAAAATAAAATAAAATAAATAAAAAATTCTGGGAGTTGAAGTCCACCCATCAA